CTACTAAATTCCTTACTTTGCATAGCTAAGTTGTCGATAAAAACCTCAAGGGCCCACACACCCAAGGAGCTCTGATGACAGAGCCAACTGCTGAGGGCAGTGGGGACCACCCGCCCCAACCCCCAAGGGCTGTTTCTTTCCCCCTGGCGGCAGGTGGGAGCTGGCAGGGGGACAGCACACCTCAGAGAGAGGCACCAACACGGGAAGATTTTTATGACGGTGATCAACATCATACAATTCAACTGTCCTGAGGAGCATGTGACTGTAGCCAATGTCTCCAGGGGATGGACACACACTGGCGTGTCCCCCGTGGGCAGTTTCTTCCAGCTCACAGGACTCGCGGGTTGTGCTCGTTCAGTTGTAGGAATGCTGCTTATCTGGTTCACACAGGGCACTGAAGGGAGTGCTGCGAGGGGTTAAGGGCAAACTTGCTTAAACCCCCAAAAAGCCCAACCTTGTTTACTAGAAGTCATAATATCTGCTCCCCATAATTTAAATAAGGAACAGACAAGACGGGCCATTAGACATTCAAACACCTGTGAGAGGCACCTGAGCAGGAGCTTAGCGTGGGACCTACAGGGCAAGGGGTCGTCCGCAGAGGGTGACCTGGCTCTGGGCGTTGGAGCCTAAGGGAAGTGAGGAGGGCAGCCAGTGGGAGCTGGTGGGGGACCCGGGTCAGGGGCTGAGGTGGTGAAAAGGGATGCACGTGAGTGGGGGAGGGAACGACTGATTAAATAAGTAAAAGTACTGAGGATGATGGGAGCAGGGTTCTTATTGTCAGAGAAAGGAGAGAGACAATCTCCTTTACCAATCTAGAGAGAGAGAAAAATAGAATGAACCCAGTGGTGCTGAACCAGAATTAAAGACACTGAAATGAGGGAATTCCCTGGCAGTCCAGTGGTTAGGACTCAGCCCTTTCGCTGCCGGCGCCCGGGTTCGATCACTGGTCGGGGAACTAAGATCCCACAAGCTGCCCGATGCAGCCAAAACAAAGAAACAAAAAAAAGATACTGAAATGAGCTCATGGCTTTCAACATATGCAGATACAGTAAAAATAGACATGAATGAGTGTGTGTACACATATATATGCACCGCCCGCAAATACTCCTGAGCTCTGTGCCCTGAGAGTGACCAGAGCAGTACCACCTCAACAGTAACAAGCATACCCAGGACCAAGAACTACTCTAAATGGAGCCAGGGCTCCTGGAGAAATGGCTGATTCCGGCCCGGCAGGAGAGGGGAGAATACGAGCCTGGAACATGTTATGGCAGCAAGGAAGGGAATGCTCAAAGGCTGATGGAGACATGTCAGAAGGACATGAGCCAGCTTCAAGGGTCTCACACTAGCCAACGCTGGGACAATTTGAGCGTCGAAATGAGTGATAATAGTAACTGTGGTAAAATAAGACTCCATGCATTCCATGAATCTATACTGACACAAAATACGAAAATGAATAAAAGGGAAATTGAATGAGGGATAGTCTCAGAGTACCTCCTACAGAATACTTATTACAAAGGGAAAAGGAGCAACTTTAAAAAGGAGAAGTCTGGCAGACACTATCTCACTTGAGTGATCAAAGTTCAAGTCATCAATAGGGGACAGAGCAAATGTGGGCACCACTGAGCAGCCTCTGTGTGAGAAGAGGCGTTGCTTCATTTTGAGGATGTGTAGCAGAAATCTAATCATGAGGAAACACCAGATAAACCCAGATGGAGGGACTTGCCTGTGATCTTCCAGATGGTCAAGGTCATGAAAGTCAAGGAAAGACAGGGGCTTGTCACAGATGAAACAAGACCGAAGAGATGTGATAACTAAACGCAACAAGATTTTGACCTTTTTGTCCTTTTCTATAAAGGATTTTATTGGGACAACTGGCAGAGCCTGAATGAGATCTGCGGATTCCATGGTGGGTGGGGTATCAGTGTTCCCTTCCTGACCGTGACAGTTGTCCTGTGGGTAAAAAGGAGACTGTCCCTGTTTGTTGGAAACGCACTCAAGTGTGCAGGGGTCACGGGGCATCGTGGCAGCAACTTACTCTCTAATAGTTCGGGGAGAAAATGTATTTGCGTGTTCTTGGAACATTTATGTGAATCTGTGATTGTTTCAAAATAAAAAGTTAAACACACACAAACAAACCTATGAGAACAAACATAGACCACTCAAACTACAGTGGCTTTGTAAACCAAATGGGATATAAGCTTTTGGGTTACAGAGTGCATAGAGGGTAAAAGAATTAGCACAGAAATATACCACATGCTGGCTCTTATGAAAAAGGAAAGTGGTGGGAAAGATAACAGATAAAATGTTGACTTCTACCTGGGTTAAGGAGTGACACCATGAAGATCCACAATGAGATATTCCTTTGAAATAATATGATTCCCAAAATCTGCTGTCATCAAACAGAGTCTTTCAAATACAAACAAGTGTAAAAGGATATCATGTCCACTACAATGGGATACCACTTTGCACCCACTAGGATGGCTATTATAAAAACAAAACAAAACAAATGCAGAAAATAACAAGTGTTGAAGAAGATGTGGAGAAATTGGAACCCTTGTGCACTGCTGGTTAGAATGTAAAGTGGTGCAGCTGCAGTGGAAAACAGTCTGGCAGTTCTTAAATATACAATTACCATGTGATCCAGCAATTCCACTCTTGCGTATATACCCCAAACAACTGAAAGCAAGGCCTCAAACAGATATTTGCGCAGATATTAGCATCATTATTCACAATAGCCAAAAGGTGGAAACAACCAAATGTCCCACAATGAACGGATAAACAAAATGTGGTCCATCTATATGATGGAATATTATTCAGCCATAAAAAAGAAGCAAATTCTGACACATGCTACAACATGGGTGAACCTTGAAAACATTATATTAAGTGAAATAAGCCAGTCACAAATGGACAAATATTGTATAATTCCACTTATATGAGGTACTTAGAGCAGTCAAATTCATAAAGACAGAAAGTAGGATGGTGGTTACCAGAGGCCAGGGGAGTGGGGAATGGGGAGTTAGTGTTTAATGGGGAGTTAGTGTTCAGTTTAGGAAGATGAAAAAGTTCTGGAGATGGATGGTGGTGACGGTTGCACAATGATGTAAATGTACTTAATGCCACTGAACTGTACACTTAAAAATGGTAAAGTGGTAAATTTTATGTTATGTATGTTTTATCACAATAAAAAATGTTCCAACTGTGTGTGTGGGGAAATATCACATCATTACAGCATTTGGGTGAAACGAATGTAGGTTTAAAATTGAATTTCTCTTTCAGTCACCAGATAACTACTGGAGGCTGGCACCACACCCATAGCCTTATATGTAAGAACTCACACAGTCTTCAATAACCGTGGGCTAAGTGTTGTCACTGTCCCCAAGTCACAGAGAAGGACTGGGGACAGAGTAAGTTTCAGTCACATGCTAGGGTCATGGAGCCAGAGGTAAAGTGGAATTCAGACCCTTTCACTGCTCTCTGCCACCGTCCATGTCAAGTACACGTCAATCTTGCACCAAAACCGTGTTCAGAAAGAAACATACTTTTGTACCACATACGTGCTTTCCACAAGCCCCAGCATAACTCAAGTGCTATGCTCCAAAGTGACACACAACATTCAAATAATTGATCTCAAGAGACCAACTCACTCTGGACTTCCCTGGTGGAGCAGTGGTTAAGAATCCGCCTGTCAATGCAGGGAACACGGGTTTGAGCCCTGGTCCGGGAAGATCCCACATGCCGCGGGGCAAGTAAGCCCGTGAGCCACAACTACTGAGCCTGCGCTCTAGAGCCCGTGAGCCACAACTACTGAGCCCACGTGCCACAACTACTGAAGCCCTTGCACCTAGAGCCCGTGCTCCACAACAAGAGAAGCCACCGCAATGAGAAGCCCGCACACTGCAATGAAGAGTAGCCCCCCGCTCGCTGCAACTAGAGAAAGCCCGCCACAGCAACAAAGACCCAATGCAGCCAAAAACAAAAAGAGAGACACCAACTCACTCTAAGAAATCAAGTGACAACCCTTCTCTGATGATTTTGGTTTAAATGATGTCTTCACCATATTTGTGGCTTCTCTTGTAAACCATCTTCAAATTGCTATTAACCTTGACCAAGTGATCAGGGTCAGTGGCCCTATTAGTGATAGGACTTACTGACAGCACATACCTCCGACACAATGCACTGAGAAGGACACAACGTTGCTTCTGTGCGATTCCTGCCACAGATGCACAACCTCAGTCTAATTATGAAGAAACAACGGACGAACCACACTGAGGGACTCTATAAAATAACTGAGCAGGTCTCAGCAAAAGTATGAAAGCCATGGATGATGAGGAACAATGGAGGAAACTTCACAGATTGGTGGTGACTAAGGAGACACGATGACTAAATGCAGTGTGGGATCCTGGACCAGAAAAAGGGCATTTAGGACACAACCTGGGGAAATTCAAATGGGACCTGTTGCTCAGTTACAGAGCATTGTACCAACATCAATTTCCTGGTTTAATCACTGCACTGTGGTTCTGAAGGTGTTGCCATTAGAAGAAGCTGGGAGAAGGGTATACTCTCTGTACTAATTTTTCTTCCTTCTTTTTAAAAAATTAATTAATTAATTGAATAATTTTTGGCCGCGTTGGGTCTTTGTTGCTGCACGTGGGCTTTCTCTAGTTGCGGTGAGTGGGGGCTACTCTTCATTACGGTGCACGGGCTTCTCATTGCAGTGGCTTCTCTTGCTGTGGAGCACGGGCTCTAGGCGCGAGGGCTTCAGTAGTTGTGGCTCACGGGCTCTAGAGCGCAGGCTAGATTTTGATTATGATTCTACTTTCCTAATTCTGTCATCTCAGGTCCTTTTGTACAACAACTGAATGCCACAATGCCTCTGAGGTCTTGCACCTAGAGTGCAGCTGCTCATTACTCACTGGCAACAGTATTTCTCTAGTTACAAACTGCAAAATAAATGAGTGTGATACACCGGAAAGCAGGGCTCTGACAAAGCAGAAACGTACCAGCTGAACCATCGCTGCCAGAGAGGGATGTGACGAGCAAGATGGCCCACGACGCACGTTAGGGCTGAGCCAGGACCAGAGGTGCGAGGTTGTTGTGGTCCTGGTGCCACACAAGAAGTGTCTTCTCAGCGGCCTACCTGCCTTTTCCTTGATCTCACAGAGCACACTGAAGAGAGCAGGCTTCATCTGATGACAATTCAGAGCATGCTTTCTGAAAGAGAGGTGACAGAGGAGCAGGTGAGAAAGAGAAGAGTCGTTCTGTGCATGAGAGTAATGATCCTCTACTGAGTCTGCCAGGTCTGTTGAAAAACCCTCTTATGAAAGGACAGAACCATAGCATTTCAAATGATCGAGTTTCAAAATTGTCCACACAGCTAAGAACTGGGTCAACAGGTTTTCCTTCTTCTAATCCACCATTGCTTATTCTATTCATGAAACGTTGAAAGTTTTCTACTGTGGTTATATTGTAGTTGTGTACTTCAAAAAGAACATCAGGATTAATGTTCCTCAAAGTATGTTCTGCTGCTTGAACTTTACTTAATCCTGCTTGATGAGGTTGGAAGAAAAGTCTATTCATATTGGCCAGCTCCACCTTGTCATAGTCAAAGAGTAGCAACTTACCAATGCCACATCTTGTCAGCATTTCAGCAGTCACACTGCCAACTCCACCAACACCTACTATTGCTACAGCAAAGGTACGGATTTTCTCATAGTAGCTTACAATTCCCATTCGTTTCAATGCCATCAGGCGGCGTCTCCACCGCTCCTGTGGGCCTCTCAGCCCAGACTGCATTTTAAAAAGATCACTGTGGCTGCTCTCTGGAGACTGGGCTGGAAGGCAAATATGGAGCCAAGGATACCAATCTGGAGGCTATTACAGCTGGAATAGTCCAGAAATGCTGTTGGCTTAGAGTTATGGTAGTAGACATAAAAAGTAGATAGATCTTTGGTTTGGGGAACAGAATCAACAGGACCTCCTGATAAACTGGTGTAGGGTTTTAGGGAAAGAGGAGGTTCTAGGATAACTACTAGCTTTAGGTCTGAGCAACTGCATGGATGGAAATATCATCAACTTCAACAGGGGAGACTGGAGGGCAGCAGGTTTGGGGGAGGAGGGTCTGGAAAGGAGGGTTGTACTTTGATCAGGTTTCACCTGAGATCCCTATGAGCTATCCAAGAGGAGGTATCAGGTAGGCAGCTGGCACATGGACATGGACTCAAGGCTGGAGATAAACAATATAAAGATGGAGTCCTGGGCATAGAGATGGCACTTTAAGCCACAAGACTTGAGGGAATCACTATAGGACAATGTAGACAGAGAGCGGCCCAGGCCCCAGGCTTAGGCATCTGTACTTGTAGAGGTCAAGCAGATGATAAAATCCTGCAGAAGAGACTGGGACCCAAACTGCCAGTGGGGAGGGACCAAAAACAGTTTCAAAGAGAGAAGAGTAATCTGTGAGAAATGCTTCTGAGAGGTGAAGTGGGAGAAGAGACCTTGGATTTAGCAACATGGAGGTCACTGGTGACTCAGCAGAGTGAGAAGGTTGGGAGAAGGTGGGTGGAGGTGGGAGAGGAAGTGGAAGTAGCAACCACAAACTCTTTGACACTTGATCCCGAAAGAAAGTAAAGAAATGTAGCAAGTGCTAAAAGAAAGGGTGTGTATTAATCATGTTTAAAATTTTATATCTTTTATGATGCTTTGACATCCTGGGGCAGGGAGAGACTGCCCTTCCCAGGGCTAACTAAATCCAGATATAGCAAACAACTTGCCTGAGAGTGTGCCTTTCATATGCAAACTCAAATCCAAAGGCCACACTCCCAATACCTCTTTTATCTAACTCTCAGCACCAGTCAACATGCCTACACACCCCCCCCACACCCCCACACCCCTGCCCCACTTCCCTGGTGGCACAGTGGTTAAGAATCCACCTGCCAATGCAGGGGTCACGGGTTCGAGTCCTGGTCCAGGAAGATCCCACATGCTGCGGAGCAACTAAACCTGTAAGCCACAACTACTGAGCCCGTGTGCCACAACTACTGAAGCCCGCGTGCCTAGAGCCCGTGCTCCTCAGCAAGAGAAGCCACGGCACTGAGAAGCCTGTGCACTGCAACAAAGAGTAGCCACCCACTCACCGCAACTAGAGAAAGCCCATGCGCAGCAACAAAGACCCAATGCAACCCAAAATAAATAATAAATAAAGAAATAAATTTAAAAAAGAATACAAGGAAAGAGAATGAAGTCGGCTGCTCTGCTTCTTAAAGGGGATTCTAGGAATGATTATTCCCAGGTCAGTTTCCTGCCTATAAAACATCTTACTTTAGATACAGTATAAAGCACCTTTGAATGAACACAAAGTAACTTCACAGAATGTTTTTGTGGTTTATTATGAAAAGTAAACAAATGTCTAACCTTTAAGCATGTTCTTGGCCTAGAGGTGATCAAGCGGCTGACAGCAAACCATCAGTGATAACATAAAGTAGGACAGACTACATCATTCATCAAAGGGGATGAACTAATTTCTGTGACAGACACATCCTAAGGTGACCCCCACTGAGTATAATCCTGTCTCCTTGAGATTGGGCAGAATCTGTGACTTGCAAAGCAGCAAAAGTGATGGTATATAGTCTCGCCTGTGGTTATGTTACATTATGACTCCACCTTAGTGGACTGGGGAACGTCACCTGCTGCCCTTGAGGCCAGCTGCCATGTTGTGAGAGGGTCAGTAATGGGGAACCGCAGGCAGCCTATTGAAGCTGAGAGCAGACCCCCCAGCTGACAGCCAGCAAGAAAACAAGAACTTCAGTCCTGCAACTGCAAGCAACGGTTCTGCCAACAACCCTACGAGACTGGAAGATGATCCTGAGCTTCAGATAGGAACACAGATCAGCCAACACCTTGACCGAAGCCTTGTGAGACCCTGAGCAGAGGACCCAGCTCAGCTGTGCCCAGATTCCTGCCTGTGGAAACTGAGATCAGTTTTAACTGTTTTAAGCTGTTAGGTTTGTGGTAATTTGTTACATAGTGACAGATAGCTGAGATAACTGAACAGATTGTAAGGCAGTGAATGGGGACTGTGGGGAGAAAAAGAAGGTCTGTGCTCGCACCTTTGGCAAGTACATGACATGTTCTATGCAACCAAGTATCTGCATTAAAACAAAACAAAATGTTAATGTTTATGAAGAAGCAAAATTCCAATGAATGAGAAATCATAAATCTTTTAAATAAATAAAAGAAACTTCCGAGGATAATCTAAATTAAAAAACAAATCTGCGAATATCCTTTCAAAACCAATGCTAAACAAAACCAATCTGTAACAAAACTATTGAGAGTCACATAGAATCATGCCAGAAAATGAAAGCATACAGCTTTATCATCCTCCAACCCCACTTATTCAATATTTATAGGACAAACATTTATTGAGGCACTAGTATATACCGGTCACTGTATAAGGAGAAAGGAATGTGGGAATGAATAGAACGTAAGTCACATCCTGGCTTCTACCAACAGTGTACTGTAGCTTCTAATTTTAGCTGTAATTTACTTTTCCAAATTATGGAAAAATCTGCTTCCCTGAACAAGGTATTATTTTATTATATTTATTTATTTTGGAGGTATTTATTTATTTACTTATTTTTTACTGAAGTATAGTTGACTTACGTTACATTAGTTTCAGGTGTACACCATAGTAATTCAATATTTGTATAGCTTATACTCCAAACAAAGTTATTATAAAATATTGACTATATTCCCTGTGCTGTACATTACATCCTTGTAACTTATTTATTTTTTACCTAGTAGTTTGTACCTTTTAAGCCCCTTCACCTATTTAGCCTCTCCCCCAGCCCTCTCCCTCTGGCAACCACTAGTTTGTTCTCTGTATCTGTGAGAGATTTCTTTTCTGTTTGTTTGCTTGTTTCATTTTTTAGATTTCACGTATCAGTGAAAACATACACTATTTGTCTTTTTCTATCTGACTTATTTCCTGAGCAAGGTATCACTTTAAATTACTGAGGAATTTGATTTAGAGATATATTCAGAGATCTTATCCTTTAGAATAAGATACTTTTGAAAAAGCTTCCCTGAGAGCGACAATGATTCTAATACCTCAACAAAAGATGAAATCAAATCCCCTTAATTATTCTCATTTCTAGAAGGATTGTTTTAGCTGACAAATCCAGTCACCTCCTGGAGACAGACCTAGGAAAAGAAAAAAAATTAGAAGCCATGTTTCCAACCCTGAGGAAATCAAATCTTGATGGAAAACCTAGAAATTCACAGAGGATGCCAAGCTCCAGAAAGGAATGCAGCCCAGGAGACAGATGCCCTGGCATTTTAAAATGAGCTTCTTTGTAAAAGTAAAACTGGGGAGAATCAAACTGTTGTGGGTACCATCAGTCATCTGTAGAGTCATTCTAAAAGCAAACCTACAAACAATGAAACAAAAACAGCTAAGTAAATGGGGGTTGAGAATACGTACTGATACCCAAATTCAACCATAGAAATTATTACAATTATTTTAGCAAAAGGAAGCCTTGGATCAGGAGGCAGTTTTGGCAACAGGAAACGAGGATAATTATTTAATACAACACAAGAAAAACTCTGCAGGACTTGAATGAAATGCAACCTTTAAATGGAATAAATTTAAGTCTGTGAAAATCTCATTATGATGTCCTTATTTCCTAATTTGCCCATGGATTGGTCACAATCAACACTATTGTTAAATTTCTTACTCAAAACCACAGAGAGATGAAAATCTCTCTCCTGAGCAAAAGGTGAAATGGCTTCTCACTGCCTGCTCCAAAAAACTCAAACCACTTAGCAAGACATTCGAGGCTCTTCACCAGAGTCCTGCTGACCTTCTCCCTCCTCCGGACTTGGGGAAGTCCTACTCCTCTGTCTAGTCCAAGACTCTAATGGGTTGGCCTGTCCTAGCCTGGATTTCTTACTCCCTCCTTTCTTCCGTTTAAAGCATTTACCACGCCTGGCCCGGGCATGATGAAGGCCTCAACTTACTCATTTCAGAAATTCCAGGCCAGCACCATACTTGGCACACTAACTGAGCAAAGATTTGTTGAACTGAACTGAAGGAAAGGTAGAGGCTAGAGATGTGACACTAGCAGAGTAGAAACGAAGAGTTTGAAAGCAGAGCTCTGACGTCTCTAGACTTAAGTGGGGCAAGTGGAGAATCAAAAACTAGGGTGAGAACTGCT